GGTCTCAATCTCTTGACCTCGTGATCCACCCGCCTCAGGCTCCCAAAGGGCTGGGATTATAGGCGTAAGCCACTGTGCCCGGCCTCTCAAAAATTTTTAACAGATTTGTAGCATCAAGTGTAGGCTGATGTGACAGATTAGAATCCAGAGGAGCCTAACCCACAGAGCAAAGCACTATCTACCCACCAGCTTTTACTCAAGTGTTTTCACTGAGTGAAGCAGGAGATCATAGAAGGAAACTTGAGAGAGATACTTCAAATGAAATCTGCAACACATCAGAAAGGTGGTGTGTGAGGTGTGTGTGTTGAGGGGATGAGGTAGAAGAACTGAGCACTCTATTACAAAATAATCTAAGAGCCCCTTTCCAAACTGATTCTCTGTAAGGTTTTGAAGATGCTAATTTGCTGGGTCTTCACAGTCTAGGGCAATGGCCCACCAAGGCTAGGCTGGGGAATGGGTATTAGAGCTGAAAGTTGTCTTCTTAGGTACATAAAATAGTGGGTGAGAGCAAAGAGACTTCCCTCCCTGCCCCCAAGAGGCCGTAAAGCTGGGAGAGATCTCCTGTATCTCCTGAAGCTGGTGGATCAGCTTTGAAGCAGAGGGAGGATGCTAGGATCTCATCTTGGCTCAGCTCTATTAGTAGATGAAGGAAAACTGCTATCTCTCAAAGTATTTGATTGAAGCCTGTGGCAGTTGATTTAAACTAAAACTGCCGCAAAGGCTAGACCCAACTTATCAACTACAGCTACAGCTCTCCAGCAGCCTGACAAAGAAAGGAGTGGGTATGCCTCTTTCTTGAGGAAAATATTCTTGAATTTAGACTCTACTGTTCTTTCATACAAACTGTTTGACCTGCAATCAAAGATTATACGACATACCAAAAAGTGAGAGAGAAATGTGACCCACAGCCAAGAAAATAAATGGGCTCAGAGATGGCCCAGATCTTGGAATTATGAGGCATTCATTAATAAGAATCTAGTGGAGAAGATGGAAAATATGTCTGAAAAGCTGGGAATTTCAGGGTGACTTAAACTGGTAAAATACCTCCATTGCTAGACCTTGAGGTATTTAATTAAATAATACTTTCACTCTTATTATAAGGTATTCCTTGTCTCATAATTTATTAATTTAAGGCAAATAGATAAATTTATGCTGTATTATTATGTCCTTTAATTGTACTAAAAGCAGAATCTTAAGGTACATTAATAATTTAATTTGTAATAGTTATAATTTTTCATAAAAACAAATTACATGGTTGTTTACTGAGCAAAGTCTGTCTTCTCTTGAGTTGTTAAATCAATGAGATGCTCATCAAGAAGCTGTTTGGTGTACATCTTGTAGTACTGGATAGTTTACAAAAAAACATATTTTGATAGAGGGATGAATGAATAGGCAGAACACAGAGGATTTTTAAGACAGTGTTGGCTACATGTCATTAAACATTTGTCCAAACCCACAGAATGTACAACAAACAATAAAAGCAAACCCTAATGAAAACTATGGACTCTGAGTGATAATGATGCAAAGGTTCTCAGTTGTAACACAGGTTCCACACTGGAGGGGGATGTTTATAATGGATGCTGTGCATGTGTTGGGGCAGAGGACATATGAGAAAATCTGTTCCTTCTTCCTGCTTGTGATATGAACCTAAAACTGTTCTAGAAAGAAGTCTTAAAAAATATGTTTATCCATTTTGGTCACATATTTGGGAAAAGCACCATGGAACATTAACTGGCTATTGAATGGGACGAGAGCTAATTATATCCTTCTTCTTGGGTCTTACTTCCCTAGAGACATCTTATTTAAGAAAACAAGAAGAATAATTTAAGACATTTTACACTAAACTCTATTCTGAATCTCACCAAACTCTATTCTGTTACATTATAGGTTTCCTTAGCATTGTTATTTTAAACAAGATCTTAATAATCATTCAGTTGTTTCTTTTGTGCATTTGGTGTCTAATTTCGTTATTTCAGAAAATGAATAAGCTTGACTTAGCAAGGGGGTTGTCTTTCTTTTAAAAAATATTCTTAAATATGCAAGCATCAAAGGGAACAGACAGCATGACAAACTGAGATACTAGGGAGTGAATACTTCTAAAATGATTTGCTTTTAGTCAGAAACCCTATTGCTAAAATACATCATTTAGAAACTGTTTTAATACTTAAATTCTGTATTCTGACCTGATGGGAATAGAAACTATGTATCTTTCACTGTGCCCAGCAAATAAGCATATTCAAAACCTTAAGTTACTTGTTAACTTATAAATGTACTTTTAAAAATGAAGGACATACTGATATTTACAGTATTTCATTTACATTATGGAGTGATCTATAACGTAGAATTTTTTCAGAAAGCAGTCTTCTCTGGAGTTATAATTTCCCTGTAGTTATTTCTCACAAAATCCCTCTAAATTTTATGGCTGTTTTGCATAAGATGCCCCTAAGATATTTGGCACTGAGCCTGGAGTTTGAGCATTAATATTATCTTTTTCTTGATTCTTATTGCCTCCTGATTTTAATAAGTAGCTGACTGTTCCTGCAGGGCCAAATAATCACTTTCATTGTTCTGTCCAAGAATGTTATTAGATTGGGTTTATTTATATAAGTCTGTGAGAAATAATATTTGATTTTTGTTTTAAAGACTCATTATTAACAACAACAAAAAAAGTGTTCCTTTTACGATCAGCCTTCTCATTGGTTCATATTCTAAGGGTACCTCAGGCAAACTGTGACTAAGCACTCTAAGGAAAGTACTGATTGCCAACTTGGTACCATGAAACTCTTTTCTGGGGTTTCCATTAATGATCAATACATGTACTTATAGCTGTACTTATAGCACTTTTTCTGAGCATCTCATCAGAATATTATTTCATAATGTCAGGTATTATTTAAAAACATTACCTCTCCCTTCACCCCTTCATCAGTCCCCTGCTACTTCCATTGTGAGGGGGCCATCCTTTTGTTAGAACTAATTCCTACACCTACTTTATCTGGAAAAATTTCTTTGTAGCTTGCCATTACTTGAGATGAGTGAAATGAGTATATCATCACCAGCCCAGCAGGCCTACAAACAAATTTAGGCACTGTATTCATGGCAATTGAAAGGAAATTTTTTAATTTTAATTTTTATTGATTGATTGATTGAGATGGAGTCTTGCTCTGTCACCCCGGCTGGAGTACAGTGGTACGATCTTGGCTCATTGCAGCCTCTGCTTCCTGGGTTCCAGTGATTCTCCTTCCTCAGCTCCTGAATAGCTGGGATTACAGGCATGTGCTATCATGCCCAGATGATTTTTGTATTTTTAGTAGAGATGGGGTTTCACCATGGTGGCCAGGCTGGTCTTGAACTCTCTATCTTGTGATCCATCCGCCTTGGCCTCCCAAAGTGCTGGGATTATAGGTATGAGCCACCGTGCCCAGCCTTAATTTTAATTTTTAAAAGTAGCCAGTTGATCCTTTGATGTAAAAATCTACCTGTCAGTGAACTCAGCACAGAGCAATGTGTTCTTAGGTAGACTGTAATTTGAAGCAGATATTAGATGTTATGTAGACAGGAACTACATGGCAAATGAGTTTCATGTTTTATTTGTAGAAATCTGGGCAGCAAATGAGCTGGCATTGGTTGGAGTGTTTTATTAACCCTATTTGCATTTTGACTATTGCTATATAAAACTTAAGGTCTCATTATTATTTTTGATAATATATTTTTAGGCCTACCTATCTAAAAAGAAACTTCATATGGAAAGGTGTTTTCACTAATTGTATCCCATCTAACACACAATATATTATGTTTTGTAACTTAATATAAAGGAGCAATTTTTAAAGTCTTCTTTATCCCATAACTGGACCTATTCATTACATAATTCTAATCCATTGGGTAATTTTAGTATTACCCACTAGAAAACGTTTTGTTTTGATATTACTGAAGAGTTTTGGGAGAAAGCATGTGGCCAAGAATGTCTACATTTAGTATTATAGAGATATACCCTAGGTATTGGAGACGAAAGAAACAGATGTTATTTGTGGCCTGCTTTAGTTGTTTTCCATAAGTAAAATTGGGCATCACTACTGCTGGAAGACAAACAGATATAGTGTGCTTGACAAAAGGATCACTTTTTCTTCTGTCTGCTGCTGATTAGCAGTTGAAATGTAGTCATCATTGGAATATTTACAAACCACACATGCTTTGCTGTTGGTGTTTTTCTTATGTCCTAGTTTTGATTTTTTTTCTTTTTTCCCTTGTTTTTTCCATCCTCTTACCTACCCCATTCACTTATACTTGTAAAATGGATCTAAAGATAAGAAATTTTAGGACAAGTTTTCTTCATTATGATATGTGATATTTAGAAATATGTATTTTTAGCAAATAGCAATCTGGATTTGGGAGGATTGGTGGTAGATAGGTCTGTCATTACCATCTTATTTTATTTCATCCTCCTCCCACCTGCCTTTCTCCCCATCAGCAGGATCATTATGATGGTCATCATCATCATGTGAATCTTAGAGAAACTTCCTAGGTACTGAAGTGAAATTCACTTTTAAAAAATGTGCTCCATATACTTTTCTTCCTGTTTTTTTTTTGTGATTATTTTTTCTTATTTGAAATCCCCTCACAACTATAGTGCTATCTGAAATATTCTATGTTAGGTAGTTTCCTTATACCTTGTGTTCTTTTTTGTGTGTGTTATTTAGTACTTGGTTTTCTGTGAATTTCCTTTGCATTTCTTGTTTTTATCTGCATGAATTCTTTATGAATCTCTGTATGAATTTCTGTTTTTTCTTATTCTTTCCCCTAAATCAAGACATTTGTTGAGGGGTCAGTAAAGTAAAATGTCATAGAGTTTATGTGTATTTGGTTATCTTTAATGTCAGGACGTTCATATTTTATTTAGTTGGAAGACATGATGGATAAGCTGTGGATAAGTACCTAAATACGTAAATGTATATACATATTGGATAGTTTACTGTTGCTGAAACCGTGTTTCTTAATTCCTCCAGGAAAGAAAGGAGAGGCTATCCAAATTTGAATCTATTCGTCATTCAATTGCTGGAATAATTAGGTCTCCAAAATCAGCACTGGGCTCTTCGGCAGTAAGTAGGATTAACTCTCTTTGCTACTGAAAATGGTCATTGTCTATCTTCTTTCTGATATACTGATGTGTGTGTGTGTGTGTGTGTGTGTGTGTGTATGTATGTAGGTATAAATAAATTTGTACTTACAAATGGAAAGGTAAGTGCATAATCTTTTTGTGTGCATATCAGTCTGTCTATATATGTATATAGTAAAACCCTATGTAACGTTAACATAGGAAAGACAGAAATAAACTTGAATTATAGGATTTATGTACTATATACAAATAATTATGAGGAACATTTTATGTACTTTGGGGTATTATTGGGAGAATAGTATAAATAATTCTTTTCTAGTGACGCATAACATTTTTACCATAAGGATTACTCTTTATATTTTAAAAATATATTTGTTTGGCTGGGCGTATTGGCTCATGCCTGTAATCCCAGCACTTTGGGAGGCTCAGGCAGGTGAATCATGAGGTCAGGAGTTCAAGACCAGCCTGACCAACATGGTGAAACCCAGTCTCTACTAAAAATACAAAAATTAGCCGAGAGTGGTGGTGCATACCTGTAGTTCAAGCCACTCAGGAGGCTGAGGCAGGAGAATAGCTTGAACCGAGGAGGTGGAGATTGCAGTGAGCTGAGATCATGCCACTACACTCCAGCCTGGTGACAGAGCAAGACTCCGTTTAAATATATATATGTATATATATATATACATATATATAATATATTTGTTTATATGTATATTCATAGTTTAAAAAACATTTTGGTTATGAAATTGAAATCTGTATGATAGATTAATCATTGAAATGTGGGTTGGACATATCACAGTAGTGCTAGAGTATTAGTAATCTTTAGTAGCAGCAGCCAGCTTGGCCATCTAAGATACACATGAACAAACACACAGAAGCATTTCTCTAAAGCATTAGGTCTTCTATTTATTTAGAGAAGGAGATTTTTTTTCCCTTAAATACAGAGGTACTCCTGTCTATACACTCTATACACTCCCTACAACTACTAGTCTAATTTTGATCCTGATGGATTTACCTATACTGGATATTTCACATAAATAAAATTATACAATATGTGACCTTTTGTATGTAGTTTGTTTCATTTATAATTCTTCCAAGGTTCATTCATGTTATACAGTGTGATAGTACTTCATTCCTTTTTATGACAGAGTAATATTACATTGTATAGATTTATCACATATTGTTTATTCATCATTGGATGGACATTTGGTTGTTTCAGCTTTTTGGCTATTAATGCTGCTATGAACATTCATTTTCATGAGTTTATGTGAATATATGTTTTCAGTTCTCTTGATTGTGAACCCAGGAGTAGAATTTCTGGGTATATGGTAATTCTCTATTTCAGCTTTTGAGGAACTGCCAAAGTGTTTTTCATAGTAATGATACCATTTTACATTCCTATCAGCAATAAATGAATATTTGATTTCTCCGCATTTTTGCCAACACTTGGTATTTCAATTTTTTCGTAATATAGGCATTCTAGTGGATATGCAGTAGTATGTTACTGTAGTTTTAATTTCCATTTTCCTACTGACTAATGATGTTGAGCATTTTTTCATGTTCTTATGGGCACTTATATGTGTTCTTTGGAAATGTGTTTATTACTATTCTTTGCATGTTTTAAAATTGTTCATTTATTGTTGAGTTGTAAGAGTATATATTCTAAAAATAAGCTCCTTATACATGTAATCTACAAATATTTTTCTCACTGTTTGGATTTTTTTTTCCTTTCTTGATAATGTCCTTTAGCATTCTTAAGTTTTTGATTTTGATGAAGAACAATTTATTTTTTCCTTGACTGTGTGTGCTTTTGGTGTCCAAAAAAAAAAAAGTTGTCCAATCCAAGGTTATGCTGATAATTCATTTTTGTTTTCTTCTTAGAGTTTTATGGTTTTTAAATTTTTGTATATGGAGTGAGGTACAGGTTCAAATTTATTTTAATTAATTAATTAATTTATATTTATTTATTTTGATATGATGTTTCACCATATTGCCCAGGCTGGTATTGAATTCCTGAGCTCAAGTTATCCTCCTTCTTTGGTCTCCCTAAGAGTTCAAATTCATTCTTTTGCATATGGAAGCATATTTAACTTAAAATCTTTAAAATGCAACAAATATGAATCACTGTTTATACAAATAAATATACAGAAATTAGAATGTTAAAGCATAATTTTAAATAAAATAAAGCAAATGCATTATAGGTAGTAAAATGAAATAAGAATTAATCATAATGTTTTTTATTGGCATATTGATTTGCCTGTTTTTAACAGTATCATTAAAATGTAGAGCTCCCTTTAAAGACAGTCTAATGGAACACTTAGATCAACAATCTTGATAGAAGAAAGAACTTAAGGCTTTAGCTAATAGTTGAATTTATTTTTATCTGAATATTGTATTTGATGTCATCAGTTGTTTAATATTTATTGTTATGATCAGAATCGTATTTTAATATATCAGCTACAAGTATGTGCTTTCCTTTCCAGTGTACTAAAGGGTTTAAAAACACTATTAGTAGTATCTCAGACAACTGAGACTACATTCACATTAGCTTCTTCCCATCTTAAGGAGATTATAATTTTGCATTGAGAACTATTCTTCAGAGATTGCCTCTGAAGCTAAGGCCAGAGGTGTTAAAGCTTACTGCAATCATGAGGGTCCATTTCAATTGAAAGCCTTTTAAATCATATTATATTTAATGAGATCTATTCCAGGCATGTCAAGAATATTGTCCTTTCTCTAGGGCCATCTATCTACTGCAGAATTTGTATAATTAGTGGCTGAGCAAATCACTTGTTGCATCTTACAGCCAGTCATGAATACTAGTTGTATCACTGATATATCGAGTGAATAATGTAGCACTCTGATAGTAGCACTCTTTGAAAAAAATCCTTTAAAACAAAAATAAAGCACATTTTGGTCCAAATGATTTGTTCTTTATGTAGCTATCAGAAGAATTATTAAAGTATTCAACAGCAGTCTCTTTAAAATTCATATACACTGTGTTGGCATAGATGTTATTTTAATTTTAGAATTACTTCTACTGGAATTTAGAAAATCAAAATATTGGAAAATAAAAATGTGCTTCCTTTTATATAGAGTAATATTGTAAGTAAGATTTGCTTGCTTGCTTGCTTTTTAGAAATGTCATTCTGTTCTGTTAAGTTGTACATCAGTTGTAATATAGTGTTATGATGCTTGGCTTCCACTAGTGGCATAGGGGAATGTAACTATCTTTGTGTATAACATAAACTGCTTGTATTTTTTAGTGTTCTTCTTTGAGTCTAGAAAAGTGGCCTTGTACTTCTTTTAATAAAGGCATGTTGTTAAGTTCAGGTTAAATAGTATACATTTTAAATCTGAGTTGTTTTTTGTTATTCTTAAGGTCTTAATTTACCTTCCTCCCTATTCATTAAGATGTAAAGAGTGATTAACAAGGAAAAATAAAGTTGTTTTGCATTATATTACTCCTACACACTGAATTCTGTCATGTTGAGGAAAATTAAGTATTATTCTATTAATTGCAAGTTTTGAATCATTTGCAGTATCATGTAATTTTCTAAAAGGACTTATTGAGATTGATATTCTATAATTTGTACTGTAGAAGAGCAAATTTATCATTTATGTGTTTGCTCAGATGCTTAACACAGGTGACAGAGATCATGTCAGACTGATAGTATAGTTTACATAGGCAATCCCAACTTGTTAAATTTACTGAAATGTGATTGCATATTGACACAGTGTAATGATATAGTAGTATTAGTTTAAATGTGTGATAAGATATTGGCACTGAATATAGTTAACTGATGAAAATGTGTTCTTATATTGTGACACATTTTATGTGTAAAATATATGAGCTTAAGGAAAGAATATTTGATACTGAAAAAATAAAACTATAGCAAAAATGTGGTAAAGTGATGAAAGAGGATTAGTGAGAGTCACAGGCACAATAGGAAAAGTAACTGGGTAAAAATAACAAAGAGAGAAAAGCATGTCATTACCAATAAAAGATGAGTAAGGGAACTAAAGAAGTCGGCAAAAAAGAAGTTGGAGGAAACCAGAAGGTACTGAAGGAAGCAGAACTGTTAGAAAGAAAGGAAGGTAAAAGAAAATTTTGGTAAAGATAGTGTCTCTTATCAAAGACCCAGGAAGGGGTACAAAAAGACAGTCCAGGAAATGGGAAGCTGTGGAAGTAACCTGATAATTGAGTTTGCTGAGTTGTTTATTTTTGTTTGTTTAATGTAAGTTTTAGAAAGAATTGTATATTAACACTCATCTCTGATTAGCATGTAATTCTATATAGCTTTGATGCTAAAGAACAGTTTTATTGTTGCCTAAAAACCAAACAAATTTAAATTCTCAAATACTGTAGTAGAAAAAATTGTTAAGAAATTTATGAATAAGAGTTTTGTGGCTAGTTTTATTATAGAATGCAAATATTAGGTAAAGTATGTTTTTGGTTAATGATATCAGTACATGAAAAAACTGCCAATTCAGCTTTATTGCTAAAAAATAAGAATTTGTAGAATTATAGCTAGTCATTTAGTGTCAAAGAACCACTATTTTAACTTATTTGCAGAATACTTCAGACAAACAGGCTAATTCCTGTTTGTCTAGCCTGAACACAAATGATCCTGGGGTACAAATATCCAAAATACCTTATTTTTCATTATTTTAAAATTGATTCAGTAGATTCAAACTATAACTATTTAGAAATTTTTTAAAACTGGAAGAAAGAACATTATATTTAATTTTCATTTTATATTAAACATTTAGTATATCTGTATAAATTAAAACATTATGTTTACTTATCAAACTAGAAATGGCATAAAATACATTTTCCTACCTATGATTACACTTCCCTTTCACTGAAAATAAGTTTTGCTAATGTCAGGCACATTCAGTAGATCAGTGTTTCCCATCTTTTGTAAACATTTGATTTTTCATCCCCTCCCAAAATTCCTAAGTAATATATAACTTTAAAATGAAAGGGGTCTTATGGAATTAAAAAAGAATAAATTTGTAGGGCCGGGTGCAGTGGCTCATCCCTGTAATCTAAGCACTTGGGGAGGCTGAGGCGGGCAGATCATGAGGTCAGGAGTTCAAGACCAGCTTGGCTAACATGGTGACATTCTATCTCTACTACAAGTACAAAAAAAATTAACTGGGTGTGGTGGCATGCGCCTGTAATCGCAGCTACTTGGAAGATCGAGTCAGGAGAATCACTTGAACCTAGGAGATGGAGGTTTCGGTGAGCAGAGATTGTGCCATTGCATTCTAGCCTGGGTGACAGGGCAAGACTCCATCTCAAAAATAAATAAATAAAAATTTATAGAGATAGGGTCTTACTATATTGCCCAGACGGGTCTTGAACTCCTGACTTAAGCAGTCTTCCCACCTTGACCTCCCAAAATGCTGTTACAGGCTAGAGCCACTGTGCCCAGTCAAGTCTTAATCCAGTGCTTTAGACCGCTTGGCTACTCTACTGACTGAGTCTTATGGAATTTTTGAGAAATATTTAAAATCTTGTGAATTACTCATAGTCACTCCAATATATTACTAAACTAGATTTGGAATAATTGGTTAGAGTATTAAATTAATGTTAATAACTAAATTTACATAAAAATAGAAAAGACAATTAAATGTCATTTTTATGGTTGTTAAAAATTCAGAATTTAAAAAAGTTAGTGTTGAAGTTTTATTTAGATTGTTCAAGCTCAGTAAGAGGTTTACTTGTATATTTCCAATGCTGTTTTATTCTCATTTTGCTTTTTTCAACATGGTTTATTGGGTAATTAATTTTAATAGAATCCAGACCAGATTTAAAAAAAAAACACTTTTTGTTTTGCTTTCCAAAAAGAAGTGTACCTTGTTACTCAGATGATTGAGTAAAGGTATACAAATCTTCATTACATACTTGAGAATTAGCCTGGACTAGGTAAGGAGAAAAAGTAATCTGTTTTTCTTTCCCCAAGAAAAAAATATTTTCTAGTGTTGCCTCCTTATTGCCTTTTTATTTAAAATAATCTCTTTTCACTAATTCCAGTATGTTTTTGCTGAACTATTCTGTAGGAACAAGATCTAGGGAAAATAACTGGCTAAACAGCTAGCCCAATCAATCAGAACTTATTAAATACAGCTTATTAAATGTACTGGATTCATTTAAGTTTTAAAAAGGAGGCTTCCCTTCTACCCCCATATCTTTGGCAAAAAATCTCAGATAATTTACTAAAGAAGAAAAACCTGTCTCCTGAAGCTGAGAAAGATGGGAATATTTGAGGTAAAAAGCTTCCTTTCATCTGTGATGTCATTATGATGGGCTCCTGGGATATTGCGTTTTGTTGCTGATACATCCTACATATATTATTATCAAGCTTGTAAAATTGTATTGGAATTTTATTGAAATCATATTGATAAAAATATTCCTTCCAGTGCTTCCAGACAAGTCTTTGAAAGACTTGATATACCCAGGCAAGGGATATGTGTGACTTTTCCCTGTGTATGTGTGTATACACGTGTATATACACACATACACTCACAGTAAGTTCAGCTTACATTTCATAACACTGTTGTATAGGGGATGAGGAATAACAGATTTTTGAGCTTCCCTTCCTATTTCAAAGAAACTAAGAAGCCTATAGAACTGAAGTGTGATCTTTATGAGATAGCAATATAAGTTCCTTACTATTCAGTTTTTTAAAAACATAGCAAAACTCAGATACTTTCTCCCAAACATGTATGACTTTTCCCCCAAACATATTCTTCATCATATGCTTAAATGAATTTCGTGGAGTAATGGCTGAGCTTTTGTACTTCATATACCTAAACCGTAATTAGTTCATCAAACTCTGCATTCTCTCAGTTGGAAATAAATGCAAATTTGGAAGGATGGGTTGGCTAGGACAAGAAATCAACATGTAGCATCCTTGTTTGGGATACTTGCTTGGGTTACATACCTTGTTTGGGATGTAGACCTTTTTGAGAGACAATGACAAAAATAAGTCCTTTGCAAAGATGCTGCATCAAATTTCTTATATTCAGTAATAACTTTTGAATAAATAAGCACTTTTGCTATTGGTGAGACAGAAATATTTATATTATAGTAAAAATTTCAGGATTTACTATAATTAGATGCACAGTGATAAAATTTTAAAATAAAATTTTTGATTCTAAAAACAAAACATTTGATTTTTGATAACTTCTTTAATAATTGTAAATTATTAGTATTAGTATACATAGAAATGTTAATTTCATGTAGATTTAGTGTTTGTTTTTAAAAGCAATGCTCTTTTACTTCATATAGTTCTGGGTAGTTCTTTAGATAGTTTGTTCTTTAAAACAATATTTAGGAATACATTAAAACTTTTTTTGAAATAAACTATCATCTTATAAATATGATGTAATAATATTTATCATAGTTTGCACAGAAATCCAAATACTTAGTTTACCAAAATTTTCATGTATAGTCACAACCTAAATATATTTTAAAAATTGAAAAATCTTATTTAGTGCAAGTGGAAGGAGTAAGAATCAGAATGTAGACTCTTCTTTGAGGTCTGTTTGGGACTTTTCAAGTTTTTTTTGTTTTGTTTTGTTCTTTTAACTAACAGAATGGGTTTTGGATAATATGAAATAGAACTTTGAGCAGTAAGTTTTGAGCCTCTTCAGTGGTATGAAACAATGAAGGCTATATTCAAAACTATTTTTTACTTAATACAAAATTACTATACTTTGGCCCTACATAGAATTTATGTCAGCCTGTAAAACTTCATATATGAATATTTGCTTTTCATTTATTATTAATTCTGATTTTTCCAATTTATAAATTACTTTCTCATGAGGCAATGTCCGTATTGTATTTTGAGAACCTTAAAAGTTAGTGCAAATTATTGCACCGTATCCACAGAGTACTCTCTATCTGGTACAGTTTAGTTCCTGTGTGCCATAAAAAGAACAACAACAACATTTTTAATTGTAATCAGAAAATGTGTGATTTATTCTACTATCAGCACATTTCAAGGAAATACAGTCACCTCTTAATTATCTCTGCCTTGGTGTTAGCATTTGGCCTCTTAAAATAACAGATAATTTGCTTTTTCTGCCATGCTCATGGTTTATAACCCTTCCTTGTTTTTGCCATGTGTTTGTAATTGTATGTTGGTGGTTTTCAGTGATGCTGTCTCTCCCAGGGCTTTATCTATCTTTGCTGTGTAGAAGCAGGACCAGCTATGTGGCACAGGTAAGTCAGATGTGTGAAGATAAGGACAGGAAGGCACAGCAGCAAGGCAGCATCAAATAAAACGTGAGATAGTGTTCCTGGAACATGTGACATTGCTCACAACCTCTGTGATCAAGAGTTAATTATATGAAAAAGAAATAACTTAGCTTTTCATTTACATAAAACTTAAGTTGTTTTGTGATACACTTCTCTGTTATTTCCCCGTTTCGTCATAATTTCTCTGGTTGATAAAATTTAATATATAGATTTATTTTAGGACATGGTGAATAAAATTGTCCATGCTAACTCTAAATGCTAATATTGTAGCTACCGTTGCATGATAGATAAGACAAAGTATTGAAGCATATGTGTTTGTGGTAAACTTGAGCACCAGTACTTGAAAAGATATTTTCTTTAGCAATTATGAACATTTTAGGTTCATCATATAACTTTTAATTGGTCAATTAAAGGGAGGAACATTTGTAAGAAGCTTTTATATTTGCTATGAATATTATTAGAAAATAGTGTTTTCTCTAATTGAGTTTTTTTTTTAATATTTGTTTAAGTTTTCTGATATGATCTGCAACAGTGAGAAGCCTCTGGCAGAACAGGACTGGTACCATGGTGCAATTCCCAGAATAGAAGCTCAAGAACTGTTAAAACAACAAGGAGACTTCTTGGTGCGAGAGAGTCATGGGAAACCTGGTGAATATGTCCTTTCTGTATATTCTGATGGACAGAGGAGACATTTTATCATACAATATGTTGATGTACGTTTTCAGTTTAGTTCATATGTATATTTTGATGTAGTTCATTTAATCATTATATTAAAATAATGAATGGTTTCTGATTAATGCCTGCAAAACGTGAAATTTAACACTTATTTTTTTTCTGAATTTCTTAAATACAGTACTTCAAAATTTACTAACATTTAAATACTTTTAAAGAAACATGTATTTAGCAATATTTTAATTTAAAATAGTGTTTATAAAACCAAAATATATAGCTATTTAAAATATGTTGTTAAATTTGAACATTAAAGATATTTCGAATTGAAACCTAAAACAATGTGATTATCATAAATTTTTTTTTCAGGAAAAACTTAAGTTTATGAAACTTGTACTTTTGAAATTGGAGCTTCAAATTGCTTTTAGAATGGTGCCATGAAATAATTTTAAGAAATTTTTTACCCAGTAGTGATAATGAAATTTCTTAATGAATGGGATGATTATTGAATTGGTTTTTGAGTCATTAAAGATTAAGTTTTTTTTTTCTCTTTTCTTTTTATTCTTAATTACCATTTTATTCCCTTTCTTATAATTAGTGTGGTCCAGGTTACCAACCCTCCCTTTTGGTTTATGCTTTTTGTATGCTATTACGTAAAGACATCCTTTTAAATTTTCCTTTAGAAGTCGTATTCATTTCATATTTAATTGGAATTTGACTGTATCTTTATGTGAGATAGGAAGTAAATATTATTTTCAAAATATAGAGATCTGATTTTTATTGAATTTACAAAAATTGAATTTATTAAAATTGTCAATTTCTACAACAACTCATACTTTTGTTTCTGCATTGTAGAGTCATTTTGAAATGAGTATATATAGTTTTTCTTCTTTTATATATAAGCTGTTTATTGGCATTCAAAATAAATAGAAATTAATGAAGAATTAAAAATAGTCTATTAACATTGATTATTCTAAAGCTAATTTATTTTTTTGAAATTTGTTTAAGTATTGCTAAACTACTTTCTATATTTGTTACATTTCTTTATTGAGCCTTAAACAGATGAAGTGTAATTTCAGAATTTAACTTTACCCACTAAGGTATTTCAATGTTTTTGGCACATGAAGGAATTGATGCCTCTATTTGTTTTCCATTCCCATTATTTCAAATGGCATGCATTTTCAAGATTGGTATCTGAAGGATTTCACTTTATGTCTAGAGACTTGTGTGATACTATTTGCTTTATAAAAAATTGAACCATGATGATTAGATGAAGCTGAGGGCTTCGATAATTTAGTAACAGGTATATGTACACACACACAAACACACATGTGCGCACACACGCACATGCACCTCTTACTAAGATATGTGTATATATATATATATATATAATATATCTCTATATTTCTTTTTGGGATGACATTCACATACCATACAATTAATCATTTTAAAGTGTAGGATTCAGTGGCATTTAGTACATTTACATCTAGTAATTATAGCTAAATGAAAGTAGATACCATCTAATGGGTTAAAAGGAATATATCCATTAAAGTATTTCCACTATCATAATGTTCACATTATTTGTAAATTTTGCATAGTATTCAGACCTCAACTTGATAATCATTTTTTTCCCACTTGCATACATCTAACCTACTGTTTTGAAAACTATGCAGTTTCTAATAGTGTCATTTTTTATTTCCTTGGCAAATTCTTTTTTGTAATTTGTATATATATGTCTTTAGGTTATGAATGTAGGTAACCTACTCTACTACAATTTGTGACCATGTTGGCAATATTTATTACATGGTATGAGAATTGTGGAAGGAAAGATTGTAGATAAAATATAAACTTGTTAATCACAACTTATATGAATATTTCATTTTATTTTGCAGGCTCTAAATGTAACTATTTTTGAAATATACATTATGTTAGACTGAAATATTTATCTTTTTTATCACTTCCAGTTTAAAATTTAACTATAAGAATTTAAATTAGCATTCATAGAAACAAAAAGGAAAGGGTCAACTTGCAAATTATTGCTTGTTTTTAATATTCGCATTTTGTTTTAAGTGGCTAAAAGAACAGTATATGCTAAAAATACGATGTTATAAGTTCTCATTTGATAGTTTTATCTGGTTTCCTTCTGTCACTGAAATTTTTCGAATATCACTGTTAAAGATGAGAACATTTATTTTTCAGAAAATGCCTCAGATTTTCTGCTGCCTAATTTTATTCTAGTGAGTTTTTGCTATATAATGTTGAACTCCTCAAGCAGTTGCAAACAGTTTAAGATGATATTGACAGCTTTAATTCTTTTTTATTCTGTAGGTGAATTCTCCATGAGCTAAAATTATTTATTTCCTCATATACCTGTTGCCTAGAAGGGGTCAATAAATGGGGAAATTCATTAACATATATAATGAGTACCTATTGTAGTGTAATGAAGGAGTTTATATTATAGAATCTGTAAATTAATGAGGTAACAAGTGTTCTAAGAGAGGAGGATATAAAGTAATACAAGATTTTAGAAGAGGGAAAATATTAAATGGTAGATCAATAAAAAAAAAGCACTGAATTTGGAGACAGAACACTTGGCTTTCAGTCCCAGCTCTGTCCTTATTTGTTGTTCACACCCAGCTCTGTCTGTGGTCTAGGAAATAAAGGGGGTTGATTTCTTAAAGATTTTTTGTGAGAATCAAATCAGTGAATACATACTTTGCAGGATGTAAAATTAAATAAACCAGTAAGGCAGTGTAGAAATGTGCACTCAAGACGTTGAATACAACATTTAATACAAAATACTAATAGACATTTCTAAAAAAAGCTGTGCAAATGAGCAATAGGTATTATGAAGGATGCTCAATGTCACTAATCATCAGAAAATTACAAATTAAAACCACAATAAGTTATCATTTTATCCTAGTTAGAATGGCTACTATTAAAAAGACAAAATTAGTAAGTGCAGGCAAGGATGTAGAGAAAGGGGAACTCTTATTATACACTGTGGGTGGGAATGTAAATTAGTAAAATCTTATGGAAATCGGTATGGAGATTTCTCAAAAAGCTAAAATAGAACTGCCATGTGATCCAGCAATCCCCCTACTGGGTATTTATCCAAAGGAAAGTAAATCAGTATACCAAAGGGATACCTGTACTCCTATGCTTATTGTAGTACTATTTACAGTAGCGAAGATAAGGAATCAATCTAAATATCCATTAACATTTATTATTTGGCTGGTGATTTGATAATTGAGTGTGTGCCAGTACACGTACCATATACTGGGTAAAGTGGTTTGCATGTTAATACTTATTCAACCCATACTGTTACTCTGTGAGGAAATACAAGTATTATCTCGGTTTAACTAATGAACAGCCTGAGATACTGAGAGATCTTGCTCAGTGTTTTACGTACTTAGAACGTATATTATTAGAAATAGAAATATATTAGTACCTTCAGCATGAAATGTTCTTAAGCAGCAGTGCTAATATATCATAGGATGTCTGCCTACTATGTACAAAAGTTCTTTAAGCAATGTATTAACAACTGCTTTGAACTGACTGAAACACTAGCTTCCTTGAGTTGACTTATACTCCATAGTTAAAGAATACTAATGAGAGTTTGTTCATCACTCAATGAAACAGATGTATTCATTTAAAAAGTTTTATATAAATTAAACTTTGATACATTGAATCTTTTTTTATTTTATAGTATGGAAAAAGAGCTTTGAGTTTTTAAACTTCAAAATGGGAAAGTAATCTTCCAGTAATGCAAATAATGTCGGAATTTAGACGGTTTTAAACATTCTTATTTCTTCACAGTGTTTTCTTAAAATGGGGGTACTCCCATATCTGTATCTGTATATATCTCCTGGTTATGAGAACTATCAGTTGGAAGCTCTTGTTACATTGCATGGCAATGCTTCTTGCATTAAAAAATGTGGCCAATAGGATATTTTTGATCTGCCAGGTTTATTGCTATCAATTTATCCATATGACAACCTACCAATCTGAAATATGAAAACAAGAGAAAAGGGGTCTTGGAGGAGTTTGGGAAAATGGCAGCTTACCTGGTGATATGCAATTAAAAAGTATTAAGATTTGAGCATGTTGATTTGAGCAGTTTTGTCACTGGTGCATCTTATTTCTTCACCAAAGATGTATGAATGAGTGCTTTTGGTAATGAATAATAAATGAGTACTCCACTAAAGAAAGCAAACTAATGCTGTATCAACAAATAGAAAATAAATGATCAGATGTATTAAAATATTTACCATCAGATTGGATATCCTTCCTTATACTTTTGACATTATTTTTGATATTGAAAGTTTTATCAAATGGAACACATTTGTAGACATGTGTAAACATGTATCTTGTCTGTTAACTGAGGTGTATCCCATGCTTTCTTTTCTGTCATTAGCATTTTAACAAAATGAGTTTCAGGTCTGTTTGTTAGATTTTTTTATTTTTCAACAATTTGATTTAGATTTAAACATTGTGGAAATTATTTAATCTGGCACAAGGTAGAATTTTAAAACATGTCAGTTTTATTTATTTATATTTTTGTCATCTTAACCATTTTTAAATGTATAGTTCAATAGTGTTAAGTATATTCCTGTTGTGGTGTAATTATAGTTTTTCAAGAATGGAATTTATCAATGAAAATAGCCTTTCTAAAGCAGTGTCTTCATATTTATTTTACCTTATTATTTTCTCTCCAGAACATGTATCGATTTGAGGGCACTGGGTTTTCAAACATTCCTCAACTTATAGATCATCACTATACAACGAAACAGGTCATCACTAAGAAATCGGGTGTAGTTCTGTTGAATCCTATTCCTAAGGTAAGTGCACATATACTTTTTTCTATGTTTGTTTTAAAAGAATTCCTGGTGAGTTAACATTTCCAACAGTAAATAAAGTTTTTAGATTATTTGCTGGTATCAGAAAAAAAAGTTTTGTTTTTGTTTTTCTGGCTTTTGTTACTAATACAACTAAAACATGAAATTTCTTTGATTTTATTAAAATGGGCTGTTTTCTTATTCAGTACTTGCAAGTATACAAATAGTTTGTTTCTTTCTTTCCTAGTTTTTCTTCAAAGACTTGAGGCTTTTCTTCACTTTATGAGGTTCATACTTTGAAAGGTTCAGGTTATAAAAATTCTAAGTTGTAGAAGTCAAAGAAAATGTCCAGCAATTAGGAATAAATTAGAGTTTCAGTTTGGGATGCTACATTTACAATGTATTATAAGATATTGGAACTATTAAAAACTTGACTACTCTTCACAGAAGCAGTAAACTTGTCTATGTGGAGCCAGGTAGTTGAATAAGAGATTGTCTTAGGTCATTTTTACCTCTAAGATCTATCACAGAAAACACTACTTTCATGTGCTGTACATTTGTCCAATAGGAAATGGGTATGTGGAAGGTTTGTGTTTTAAAGGTAAAATCCTTGGGACTTAAACCAAAATGGAACAATGGAGCTGACTTAATTTCTGAGCACTTTTGATGTTTTAGGTGTTGGGTTGGTATTGGCAAGAGCTCTTTACTTTCGGGACTGTCTAACATGAAGAACGGTGTAGAAATAGGAAAACCATACAAGTTGCTAGATTAATATTTGTTGATATGACTTTTATACATTTAGGTATTGCTTTCAATTTGAAGTAAGTGCCAGTTCCAAGAATGCTGGTACATAGTCCAGATTTAGCGATTTGGAAATTTAAAAAACAATCATTTTATTTTCCATTTTTAGTCTGGGAAATAATGTCTATATATATATATACTTTTATTATATGACTGAATTTTCACTGAGAGGATGACCTTTAATACTTCTCTCACAGAAGATTTTGACAGTTGTTTGTTAAACATTCTAATTCTCTGGCTAAGGAACTGGCTCTTCAATAATTTTCTAGAATTATGAAATTGGTTTATTCTTTGTTAATGTTTTTCTATTCATTTTCTACCCTTAATTACCAAAAACCATAAAAAATTCTTTTTCATTCTGAAATAGATTGTCACATTTTTTCTAAAGCAAATATACATATATTAAAAAGTGTTAAGATTTGAGCATGTTGATATCTGAAGTTTTGTCACTGGTGCATCTTAATTTTTCACCAAAGATGTGTGAATCAGTGTTTTTGGTAATGAATAACAAATGACTACTCCATTAAAGAAAGCAAACTAATGCTGTACGAATAAGGTAGAATAAATGTGAAGGCATTGCTTTAGAAAGGCTACATTCATTGATAAATTTAAATTCCATTCTTAAAAAAAAACAACTGTGATTATATAACAACATGAATATACTTAACACTACTGAACTATACATTTAAAAATGGTTAAGATGATAAAAATATAAATAGATAAATGAAACTCTGACATGTTTGAAAATTCTACCTTGTGCTCGATAAATTAATTTTCACAGTGTTTAAATCTAAATTGTTGAAAAATAAAAAAATTAACAGATTTATATATATATATGTCTTCTAATATTTCCTCTTTCATCTGTAAATGAATGCGATTGTTATATTCCAGTATATATTCCAGTATATATCAGTATGAATAAGGCATTTATTCTTTAGTCAATGTGATCTAGTCTTATGGCTTTATTTACTATTTATACATCAACAATTTGCGAATTTATATTTCTAACTCAGATTTCTCGTTTCCAGAACTCAAATTGTTCTACTTTCCATGTCAAACTGAGCTTATCACTTTTAACTGCAAAATGTGTTATTTCTTTTTAAATAAATGATACCACCAAATACCCAACTTCTCAAGTAATAAATTAAGGGGTCATCTTTGACATCTCTTTCTTCTTCATCACTGCTCTCCCTCTAGCATTCTAGGTTACAATTAAGTATATATCTCTTAAAAATACAAAAATTAGCTGAGGGTAGTGGCACATGCCTGTAGTCCCAGCTACTTGGGGGGCTGGATTGCTTGAGCAATCCAGCTTGAGGTGGGAGGATTGCTTGAGGTGGGAGGATTGCTTGAACCTGAGGGGTTGAGGCTGTAGTGAGCTATGATTGTGCCACTGCATTCCAACCTAGGCAGAGTGAGACCCTGTCTCTAAATAAAGAGTTTTGTATGCTTAATTATTCATGCGGAAGTATGAAATTCACTTCCAGTATATATCAGTATGAATAAACTTCAGTGCAGGAAGATATTTTTTATCTAGATTAGTTTAACAAAATATACAAATAGGAATTCAAAGACACTGATATCCCATTTCAAAAGCTAACCAAATATCTGCATTTGCTGCAGTCTTATTAGCCAAGTCTAAATTGGGAGACCAAATCCATTAAAGAAAGAAATAACAATGCAGATATGAGTTTGAATGGGAATACAAAATTTCATTTAAAGCTATACTCCTTACAATATAAAATTTTCTATAAAACCTTAATAATAGATTCTTTGGACTATTACATGGTTAATTAATGTTTTTCCAACTCCCAACACTTTGGAGTTGATTATCTCATTATCTGATAGAACTAGCTATGAAAATAAATATCTACTGGATGCTGTAGAAGTTTAAAAGGTTATATATGATTGTTTTATGAGGTAGAAGTTTAATGTATATCTGGCTATTAACCTAATTGAAAGTACTGATATTTGAAATATGCAAATCATGATCTCAGTTTGTTGTAAATGTTATACACTAGATTTAAAGGATCATGTTACTTTTTAAATAGAATATCACAAGGCAGAAGCTGTGAGTTCGATAATTTTCAGCTATGAGTACATAACAAATTGATATGGATTTTGTTATGGTGGTAGTGTCTGTTATATATCTTCCTTTGAGTTATTTGTACTCTTATAATTGAATCTATTTCTTGATTTAATTTCTGTAAGAAGTTAATATCTTTTATTATATAAGTATAATGTATTATAAAATATTTAATTTCTATCTTGCTAGACTCATTTTTAGCCTGCATAAAGAATTCCACTTTGGTTTCATTGTAATTTCTATTTCCCATTTATTTTTCTTCCCATTTATCTCTGCTCTTACCCATAAAAATATGTTTATCATCACGATGCCTAGCTTGAGGACAGAATGGCCAAAGTAATCTCTAACTTATCTTTGTATTTTATGCGTATTCACTCAGAGGTACAGAAAACGAGACAGAATTAAATTGTTTAACTTTCTCACTGTATTAAAACTAGTGGGTGCCTGAGCCACCCATCCCTCTCCCTGATTTTTTCTACACTATCTCCAAAGCTTTTGTAAAGATATGGAAGATGGAACAAATCGTTGTAAAGAGGGGTTATTAATCACCCATTATCATCATTCTTGTATTAGCAAACACCTTGGACATGTATATGACCTGTTCTTTACTTAAGTCAGTTTCAACTCAAATGTCACTTCATCAGAGAGGCTGACTCTGACTACTATGTATAAAATAACACATCCATCCAACCCTTTTGCTCCCCCTGCCTCTGCCTTTATTTCTATTCATCATGCTTACGTTTAAGTGACATTATATTATATTTATTTTTTAACATTTTTTCTCCCCCAATGGAAATAACTTCCACAGGGCCACAATTGTATTTAACAATTAGTGTAGCTGACCCAGAGTGATATTCAATAAATATTTGTTGAAGGATTGAATTCACTGAGCAATTGCTACGAGCCCAGGTAATTGCTGAGCTTTTGATATGCGTCATCTCACTTAACCTCACATATTCCTATAAAATATTAATAAAAATTGTTAACCTCATATACTTTTATTGTTGCTGTTATTACTATAAAATATTATGAATGAAGAGCTAACGATTAAAATGGTAAGTGAATTCCTCAAGAAAACAGAACTAATAAGAGGTAGACCTTGGGTTTGAACCCACATCCTTTTTTTTTTTTTGAAGATGGAGTCTTGCTTTGTTGCCAGGCTGGAGTGCAGTGGCACAATCTTGGATCACTGCAACCTTCACCTCGCAGGTTCAAGAGATTCCCTGCCCCAGTCTCCCAAGTAGCTGGGACTAGAGGTGTGCACCACCACGCCCGGCTAATTTTTTTGATTTTAGTAGAGATGAGGTTTCACCATGTTGACCAGGATGGTCTCAATCTCCTGAACTCATGATCCGCCATCTTGACCTCCCAGAGTACTGGGATTACAAGCGTGAGCCACTGTACCTAGCCTGAGCCTACATTCTTAACCACTATCTATTTGTCCAGATTGTAGAGTCTAGACTTCAGAGGCTAAAATAAACTGTTTATTTTAATTAATATGAATGTGAGTTTAAGGAAGTCTCTTTCATTCTATAAAATTTTAACTTGAACAAGATTTTAACATATCAAAAACTATTAGTTACTATAAAAAGAAAAATTATTGAACAGTAATGTTGGATAGGCAAAGCTGTCATTTGAGCTAAAGTATAGGGATTGGTTAAATACTTAAGAAAGACATCTAGTTTAACATTTAAATGGCACTTGTAGAAGTTACTTGCTTTGTTAAGTTTAGTATTTCTTAATATTTAGATGTTTTAAAGAAAGAAACCTCTTTCTGAATGGAAAGTAAAACAAAAAGTTATGATTAAATGTAGATTAGGCTGGGTGTAGTGGCTTGTGCCTGTAATCCCAGCACTTTGGGAGTCTGAGATGGGTGGATCGCTTGAGGTAAGGAGTTTGAGATCAATCTGGCCAACCTAGTGAAACCCTGTCTCTACCAGAAATATAAAAATTAGCCAGGCATGGTGGCACACACCGGTAATCCCAGCTACTTGGGAGGCTAAGGGAGAAGAATCACTTGAACCTGGAAGGCAGAGGTTGCGGTGAGCCAAGATCGTGTCACTGCACTCCAACTTGGGTGACAAAGTGAAATTCTATGTAAAAAAAAAAAAAATGT